CGTCAAGAAACGAGAGTCAGTAACTGCATCTAACACCAATTTTACATTGTGTTCAAAATATGTGCTTCCAGTGCAAGCTCTCGCAAGGATTCCAAGACACGTTTCCATGTCATCCTCATTCATTTCATCCATCTCAAGTATTGTTGCGAGGCAGTTAGGGCGACTGGCTAACCATACAGCGATCCTCCTACCGGTGTCCAAGGATGCAAGTTGTCTCAAATCTCGGCGAGTTTGCTCCCTGATTTTTTCACGGAACTTAAAAACTTGTTTAGAGTTTCTTGGTGTTAATCTGTCACGGAAGGGGCCGCGTGATTTGCCTCCTCGGTGTTTTGGTGGAGTGGAAGATTTCTTCTTGTGGTCCTTATCCCTCCCTTCATACCGGCGATGGGTTGACGTATTTCGGCCGTCGTTGCTATGAACATTACTCTTATACTTTCCTTCTTCACTCCAGAATGAGCATCCAGGTTTGTCGTTCGCGGATTCAAGGTATACTACTCTTTTTCTATGTGTTGATAGTTCCAATTGCGCTGCTTTGTCGTCACTACGACGTGAATGCCAACCTTGCCTCTCTAGTCGAGGGACAGCGTCTGACTGCCCCCCTTTGGAGTGGTCCTCCCTCAATTTGAATATACGCGATTGTCTTTTTTCACGACCCGTCTTTGTGTCGTCAACGAGTTCTTCTTCTTTATTAAAAAGTCGAATTTTCGAGGTTATCAAACCCTCTGTCAATATCTGATTGTCATCATCTATTTCGCCTTCCTCTAGTTCCTTGTGACTTCTTTTTCTTGAGGAGGATGAACGTCGTTCCTTCGATCTACCTAAGGGATACACCCTTTCAGTATAATACTCACGGCGTGTGGGGCTGCCAGATGAGTGTACGTCAGATGAGTGTACAATGCCTCTGGTTTGGGTGTCTTCTGAGGAACATGGACCCAGCCGTTTGAACACGGATTGTCTGGGCTCTTTTCGATCCATGATGGCTGTTCGAAGATTCTTCACAACTGGCACTAAGAGGATCGGATTCCTGCCAAAAGTTTGAAAAAAATGGAGATTACCCTGCTATTGATGCTGCATGTTTGCAAAAGAAAAATTCAAGGCATTCTGCTTATACTGCAAGGCATATTATTGTCCAACATCTACCCATTATCATTCTTATTCTCTCATGTCAGCTGCCCTGGCCCAACACAAAGGACTTCACAACATTTCTTTAACTTTGTGTATTTAGGCTTATAGGGCCCGACTAGACAGTGGGGCTTAGTTAAGCACAAAAGAATGGTGAAATATCAAATGGGCTTCATTTGGTAATAGTGCAGTCGTCGGTTTCATCACAATCCAATAGTGGGTGCTGACTCCACGTTTTTCTTACACCTTCGTTCCATTTATAAAGCACTGAAGGCCCTCTGTGTTATAAATACCGTGCAGTATTTGCCGACAGCGGTGGTGGATGTCCATTGCGTTGCGTGACCATTAGTAAGGGCACCCTATTGGTACAGGTTGCTCATTATTTGGTGAATACAAAAAGCCTGTTTTCAAATCTGTTATCACCTTTGTAACAGTTTCTCTTTTCACTGCACAAACAACAATTTGTTAAAGTATACACTTTTCTTTTAGTCCTTATCCAGCTCGTAAGTGACTTCGTCATCAACGCGGACGCGCCACGATTTGCAGGCTCCCATTGGACGATCAATGAAGTTGCACGTTAACTTCCGGTTCCATGGTTCCACGTAAATGGCGATCAATGCACGTAACTCAATGTGCAGTGCATGTGCAGTGGGCGTGGGTTAAACTGAAGTGACGTCACACTTACGAATTGGATAGGCCCTGTTTTTGTACGCCACCCAAAAGGAATCGATCAGTGAGATTGGTGCATTAAGTTTGAATGATAAAAGAGGTTGGAAGAGCCAACCGACCTGATGCATGATCCTTTCAAAAAGAAAACATTAAGTGCAGATAGTGACACTTTAAGAAAATTTATCCGTATTTGAAGATGAAGTTCAACGATGGAAGACTTTTTTTCTGCAGTGTCTTATAATGAAGAGTATACCCATACATGCGTAGAGACAATGTCTCATTGTTTTGAACGCTGTATGTTTAAATTAAAAATATATAAATGTACATTTTAAAAACCTCACTAAATTAAAAACAGATTGCTTAGTTTACTTTTAAATAAAAAATCGCAGAGCCTGCAAAACACTACACTTTAGAATTACTCAGAAAACACAGTGCTTTGCGTAAACACTGGGGTCCTTTACTTGAACTTGTTTACTTAGCGCATTAGGAATTAAAATACTTTCAAGCTCTAAACTTCCTCCAGCACCCCGGTTCATGGACATGATAGGTGTGCAGCTTGGACGATTGGTTATGCATGACACTGGCGTCTACTGACCGGCAGACTATGACCAATACGACCAACGATTTACCATCATTGTCTTCGGTGAGTAGATGAAATCTTAATTATAGGCCCGAAATGCATTTTTCTAAAAAGCCTATGGTTATCTTAGCAGCTTAGTGAAAGGAAGTATTGCATTTGTCCACTGAAACGGTACATGCACTTTTGTAAGCGCTAAAATGAATAAGTCCAGGACCCAACCAGCAAGTTCACTATTCTAGCAGCACATGCCTAAAATAAAGCGCGCCTGAAGTCATTCGGGAACGGCAATACGCGCATGCGGAGTCTGTCCTATCATAGAGCTACAAGGTTTGTAGCTCTATGGTCCTATCAGCGCGATAATTCGCCAACTAGCCCGTGCTCTGCTCCCGAACGACGTTGCCTTTCTCATTTCATTTATTTATTTTGCAGGATTAAAACACAGAAAGTTACACGATTTACAAAATTAAGAGATAAAAATTATCCACTCAAAATACATATCTAGTTAAAAATCTACATACACAAAAAGAAAAAACCACACAAAATACAGTAACAGACAAAATTAGAAACAACAGCACAAGTAACAACACCACATCAACACAAACACAAAACACATGTAACACCCCTGCAGGATTTAAAAAGGCAAACTTAATTACTGTCGAGTTGCTCTCCTGGAGCTACAAAAAGACCAAAAACAAAACAAAACAAATAAAAAGGAAAGCAGACAGAAAAACAGTAAATGAACAAACACAACATATTATATCACCAAGAAAAAAAACCCAAACAAACAGCCCAACAAACAACCCAAAAACAAACAAACACATTAACCCCTGTCTAACTTAAGTGAGCACCTTCCCTGACTACAAATAGCACACACATGTACTAGAAGACAACGCAACAAAAACAAAAACAGCAATAACAACCACAACCACATCATCCACAACAACCACAACAATAACAACAATAAAAACTAACTTAAACTTCAAACTTTTTGAAGTATAGAACTGGTTCATTCCGAAGAGCTACTTAACAGAAAATCTTGCAAAGCACAGTGTTGCTGAGCAAATACGAGCAGAGCTAGAGCACCTGTCATCGCTTGTGCACAAGCGATAACAGTTGTAAATCTTAAGTTGGTAACCCGTTTCAACTCAGCAAATGTGAATACTAGATCTTCGAAGTAACCTACGATGTATGTAAATTTCATGATATCTCAATACGATTTGGAGATATCTACAAATTATTTAGAGATCGGTTTAGAGGCATGATTTCATGATATTTTGAAATCGTTTACCCTTCCGCGAAGTCATATTGAAAAGAGCACATCAGGGCAAGCGTCGTTATTGAGACGTGCAGGACGAAACTGGGGAACACGTGATACATGTATCTTAAAACGATTTTTGGCATTACTGCAGGTTTACTTCAAACATGTATTTTAGATATCTTGAAATAGATCTTGAGATTTTTTCAGATAAATTCATAGATATCTTGACTTTTGACATACATATATATACACGTATATCTTTTCAACCGGTTATCAATTGGGCAGGATTACTCCACACTACAGGGCTTTCAAACTGACAAAACTGTTATATATTTTTTTTTAGTATTAGGAAATTCAGAGATACCTTGAAATGACCAAAGCTTTTGATTTACTTTATTAGGAATGAAAATATACACAGGACTGCTGACAAGAATATTATGATTTTATTTTTCATTTATCGAAATTTATCGAAGTTATCGTCATGGAATCAAACATGGTTTGTTCAGATCATTCGTATTGAGCGACAGAAACAAATTATTCCTAATTTCAACTTACCTCAGACGGCTTCTTGAGTCCGGCAATTTATTACGGGAATTCGAACATTCCAGTTTAAATGCCCATTTGCTCAGTCAATGACACACTGCATTGTACACAGCACACACGGCACGGCTAAAATGAAAGCTTTCCTATTCCAGCTCACACTTGGTCACGCGACGTTTCAACTTACCACAGTCGTTCCCTCGCTCTGTACAGCCAAACAATGTCAAATTCAGTCCGCACCTCGTCCCTAGGATCTTTGGTCACAGTAATTGAGATTTTGAGTAAGTATCGGAAAGTACAATAACCGGTTTCAGGATACTGCTAGAACTCCACAGGAACGAGGTTGATCGGTTCACGGCGCATGCAAAGAAAAGCAACACATACAGACTAGGGCTTGTCTACAGCTACAGCACTGTAAATGCTATTTCTCATCGGCGGAAAAACCGAAGTGAGAAATTTACTCGCCCACTCGATTACTAATTAACAATCTCCAATAATATGTACAAAGTCCAAGGAAGGGAGGGGGGTTTGCCGTGGATAAATCCAGTGCAGTGTATATCGACACAGGATACACGCGTGTAACTACATAAGTATTCTGTTTTCTGTTCAAGCCTTAATTATGGAAGAATGATCTTCTTTTCTGCTATCAAAATAGCACACCAAACAGCAGATAAATACCGTAACCAAACCAGAATAAGGGCCCCCAAATGTTCCTCCCACACAGAGTACCGGTACCCCAGTTACGCCACACTGCCACGCATCAAACATAAATCCACCCATCCTCAACAATGTGTTTGATCGAAAGAAAAATACCAACACTACTTTGAGAAGTTCATTTGGCAAAAATCGTATATTTGTCAGTTTTGGTGAAAACAAATAATGTAGAGAATATGGCTTACACAATTTACTCTTTACAAAGGAATAAATGGTTGTATTCGTTTGTACAGCTTGATAAACTCCACACGTGTCTTTTGTTTGTATATGCGGGCATAAAAAAGGAAAAGGTGCAATATTAAGTGGAAATTTTACAACATTCAATATTTACATATCACATCGGCGGCTTGTGGCACCCCATGCACACCCTTTTTTCAACGTAACCTTTCATGAACATTGTATCCTATATAAGGTCCGATCAGATACTAATAAGCTTGTGTTTTCTTTCTTTTTTCCGATAGGAAACGAGGCCGTTATTACAATTCGTTACGGTCTTCTGGATAAAGTACCAATTTTCTAAGCAGTGTAAGGGCAATTTAAGCCTGATAGATTTTCACGTGGGCTTATATGGTTGGGCTCCCGTGCAAAAGACATCTAGAAAATTTTCTTGAAGTGATAGTATACAAACAAGTCCTCTTTTCGTCTGAAATTTGCACAGATTTTCAGTATTTCCAATGAAATTCGTAACAAGTGAAAATCTTATCGAAATATCTACACATGTCCTCTTATTCCCTTAAAAGGCTTTTTCCAAATGTTTCCAAAAATATGATCCCGATGCACACCACTAAATAAAGTTTCCTTCCTGGGCTTATACAAAGTGTCCATTTATTCACAAACATAATAACGTCGAAGGGCTACAATTAGGACCCCTGTTCGTGTTCATTTCCAAAACAGAACAACAAATGGAAAAAAGAATCTAAAGTCCAGATGATTATGTAAATTTATGATAAAATCACTATTAAGTACGAACCGAATATAATTTGAATGACGTTTCGATTCCTTAAACTGACGGTCTCGTTTAATCTGACATTACAGACACTTTTACTTCAAGTTCGGTTGCTGACTCAGCAGTTTAAGAAATCGTTCTATCCTCAGAAACATCAACGAATATGCAGTAAACGCAACACTAATTAATGATAATCAGTCAATTCTCCCAGGCACGGTCCTGTAGTCACGGTCCTGTAGTCACTATGGATATAACATGTACATGTAGGCCTACAAAAAGGAAGTCAATGTGTGCACTTTCGTCAAAGTAAGGAACACGGCAATCATATATGGTCTAAGAGAGATAATTGCGTGCATTAAAGTAGCAGTGATATAGGGAAAGTCGACGGCAGGAAATACATCCCCAGGCTAATAATCCATGAGAAAACGGTATAAGACGGTATGAGTGGATCTGCTGACATTTCACGTATGTCTCTGTCTGTGTTCAATCTCTCCAACGAAATGATTTTACCAACCAACATCAGAACAGCACCTGAACCAGCAGAACGTAAATTCCATTCACTTCCCTCCGTGGTTGGATGCTATTAACAAATGTCCTAGAACAATAGTGGCTGGAAAATACAGCAATGCTCCACAATTCCCTCAGAGATATAAACAGCAAAGTTTTAAATACTGTGTCAGGTAAATTATACGGGGCAATTACATGCATTAAATCTTTGTCTTTATACCAGAGAACACAGACCTCACTGACCATTATGATGGAAGACTAATGCGCTACGACTTTAGCGGAACACCAGCAGTGTACCACAGAATCAGCCAATCACTACTACGGTATAGCTATTTTGTATTCACATGAACGGCTACTCACATGTGGTACTCCGTGAAAACATAAAAAGTCTAGAGACGAGACTGGTGCACAAGGTTAACGGACTACATCCGTGTTCATACTCCTTACACACACAATTTGTACAATTACTTCGTGAAAACAAATTCCTCTCCGTCAGACTAGGCATGCTAATCTTTCCCAAGTCCGACATCTTTAAGAAATATTTATTCAGCCTCTTCATCTCTATCAGCACCTTCCTCATCAACTGCATTTGTATGTCCTCTGTGGAGAATTGTTGCCTGTGAAGGATAAGAATGCTTTCGTCGAAACACTGTGTACAGAATGTTCCGATTTACGCCCGAGCAAGTCTTGTTTTTTAACAAATTGGCTGTGCAGAGATTTTCATGTTACTATTATCACAATCGTGTGGTACACAGTGATGGGACCAGTCTGGAGCCGGCCAGTAACCGCTGGCAGGCTATTATGAACCAACTGGAGATAAGAAGAGACCAGTGACAGTACGCACAGCTCGGTCGAAAACCTGGATGAAAAACAAACCATATAACATTAGACCTAAACATGATGACCGTAGGACTATAGGCCTAATAAACAGAATTATGAGGGCGCCATTTAGTTCTTCATAGTGAGTGGAAGAAGGAAGCTTTTTACCGCGCCTTTCCACGATTAAGCGCGTCAACACTTGCGCCAAGCAAAAACACACCTTTATCATGTTAATGGATCGATTTTGGTGTCCTTGAAAGTGAAACGCACGAACGCATCGTGAGCACAACGCACCCCAAAACGTACATGGAAAGGCGCCTGTACTCTGCAGCGACGTCTCAAACGAGAGTTCGCGGAAGTTCGCGCGCTGTGCATGCGACTTATTTTCATTTTAATGTGCACAATCCCGTGGCGCCTTCACCCCAGCCTTGCAATGCATGGTGGTAATCGCGTCGGGGATACTGGTGTCGACCACGTGTCTCTTTGTCAACGTTGAGTGGGCACTTGTGCATGGAATGACTGGCGCATACAAACCTGCGTTAAGAAGGTGGCAGTTGGGCGGCTCGTCAGATCCATCCTCGCACTGGTACTCACTGTTACACATTGCCTTCATAGTGATACATCGCTTTGTCAGGTGACAAGTGAACCCAGAACAGTATTCTGCGCAGAAGGAACAAAATGGCAACCACCTATGATTCTAAATTCATTGTCTGTGGCACCAAACAAAGGCCGTGTCCCAACACTGTGAATTATGCCAAGAATGGTAAAAATTAGTTTCTCTGCTGTGGACAAAATGGCCATGTTATCTTTTTAAGAAATGAGGAAAGAGGCACACAAGAAAATATCCTTGAGATAATATTTTGATTTTCCATTCATTTTTACAGCCAAAGCAAACTGCTCAAGGAATGTTCTAGAGTTGCTCATTAAAAAAAAAGCAAAAAAGTCATTTTTGTTCAGGCGAGTTACTTGTTTTTCCGTGAAGTTTAAAACTTCTTCTCTAGGCCTACTTATTTTGGAGCTTGCAACACGTCTATGAAATTGAAACCAATTAAAACTATCTTTGTATTTAATTTAGTCCAATTTCTCCAACAGGTACATATTGAGCTAGGCTAACCATCCTCTGTGAATGGCGTGATGAGGACCATGAAGCCACGGTACGAGTTGTTACTGCCGTCCGTAACGAACTTGATCATGACCTCGTGTCCCGTGGAGACAAAATAGTTGGGCAGCGACAGTGTGGTGCCACAGAGGGCGTGCTTGTTGGCCGACAGTAAATTCTCGCTGACTTCCCTCCCTCCGTCATACAAGTAAAGACCATCCCTTGCACAAAACCTGGACGTCTCCACCTGAGTGATTTAGATGGAGATCGTGAAAAAAAGGTGAACAATGACAAGCATGTCACACGTAAGCGGATCAACAAGAGACTTACGCTGGAGGATAATATTTTAATTTATTTCATACAAGGGGTTAATTCAATCCTCTCCAAAACCAAAACACAAGGAAAGAGACAAAAACTCCTCTTGAATATAAGGGAAATCAAATTCAAGAGAAAGTGGTTTTAAGCAGTTTTAAATGCTCACAATTCGTAATAACAAATAACATGCGTTTAACAAACGTGAAAATGTACTCGGTAGATATTATTACCAGTGGTCCAATTAAAGTACACTGTACACGCACTGTGTTAGGGGGACGCTGATTGTTTAATTATGAAGCTGGCTACGATTTGTTAGGCTCTGCGTTATGATCGATGGGAACATCTGCAGTGGTTGATTCCTTGACTGCCGTTGGGTCATGCGATCTTTGAGGCTAAACGTAATCGTAAACTTCTTCTCAACTCTATACGGATATAAAAGGACAACTTTTTGGCATTCAATTTTTAAAGTACATATCAAAGATTAACATCGTTTAAAATCTAACAGTGTGTTTAATATTGTCCACGAGATTATAGGCTACATCGAATAACACGTTCGGACGCTGCTGTTGTACTGACACAAACTGTGCACTAGCCGATTCACAGGCCACAGAGACGGTTGTAACGACAGGTACAAACCATAATTGGTTCTAAAGTCTACACGCGACGGTTATAGGCCCACATACAAGGCGCCTTTACATCTGCAGGTTTTCACTGCGCCTCGAGTCCGCGTGCGTTAAGCTGTGAAGAGTGTTACAAGTAATAGACTTTGTACATGAAACGCGGCAAAAGCATGCGGATTATTTGTCAAACTCTGATCAGTCATTTATTTGGTAACCTGGAAACACACTAATTTGCGGCCATTTTTCTAACTCAATGCACACCAGCTCACCCCTTTGAAAATTCGTACACGACCTAATGTCGCAACTCTATTTATGACCCTGAATGACACCCCAGACACCAACCTTATATCTGTGAATCGCAGATATTGAGGAATCACGATGTCTAAAATGGTTCTGAAACATCCCAAGTATTGACCTCTGTGCTGACGACGTCATGCTTTGTTTTCCACGTGCACTTTCTTATGGAAACCAGGAGGGAAGTTTCGTATAGAGGGTTTGCATAGCTGCCATCTTGCAGGCCAGCGCTTTTGTTCCACAGGGTAGGAGGAGGTTTCCCTGTCGAAGAAAGGAACTGCATGCCCTACAACATGGCTACCATGCAAAGCCTCTACAGGAAAGCGCACAGCTCAAAAACAAAAGACGACGTCGTTAGTGCATAAGACTATTACATTTCAGGAATTCCACAAGCAAAATTTCATCTCAGGAGTCGAAAGCCACGCATTTAAGTAGGTATACACTCCGTTTACCTCAAAGTTGGAGAGTCTAAGGAAATTGCGCTTGCCGGGCTGAGTGCGGAAGATGATTGTACAGCTGACGTTGGGAGGATAGGATGTTCGCTCGGGTTCCTCTCCGTGCGGAATCTGCTGCGAAACCACCTTGAACTGATCGCCGTAGTCAACGGTATAACCGCACGTCTCTCCTGGCATTGTAACTGTGTGTGAACAGACACGTAAAATTATGGAAAACGTGTTGCTGCCTCAAAGCTTGAAATAAATAAGCATCTCATCCAACCGTGAACTCGGTGCGATTTGCTACACCATGCAATATCAAGGAACCCATACACACTAAATTAATGAACACCACCAAGGTATGTCTCTATGCATGCTTACGGGCCTCGTGACACCGCGTGTAAGCTTTATGCATTTCAAAATGTTTTTTATGACACATTGTGATATAAAGCTTTTTTGTAAATCGTATGTGTGACTTACAGGTTCATTCGTGCTTTCTACTAAAAACGTATAAACGTAGTTTTTACAACTGCCAGTGCAATGAATTAGAAGGCGCACATTTGTACTGGTTGTAAGTCAGAACTCAGAACGATCTTGAAAATGGTTACACTTGCCATCTTCGAATGAGATTTTCATCTTGCTGGTCCCCGGGTTATAGCAGTATTGTCAGTTGAGAAAATCTTTTTCGAACTTTTTGGTTTATTGTTTTGTCGGATTTGAGGTCAGGGTGAAAGGCAGATGGCGTACAGTGTAACGATGATGCATAGCCTCCCATAAATTTATGGGATTTATGGTAAATTAACGGTGGTCATGGGTGTTAACGATTTCACATAAAATGTACGACGAAGTGAGAGCAAATTCAACGATTTAATTCGCCCTTTCAATTTGTAATTACGGTGACCGTACGTTTTACAGGGAATCACGGGCACCGTTTGCTGCAGTTAATGTCCCATAAATTTACGGCAATTTTTATACAGTGTAATGGAGAGCCATGTAAACAGCACTTGCGCCGGTTCATTAATTAATGTTTACCCATGGCGGGGACACACTTCGACTTCAACTTTGATGCTTCGAGATTCTTTGTTCTTTGTTGGTTCATTGGTTCAAATCCCATTGCCGCATGCGCTGTTTTTCTCTCTTGTTTACAACCTCGTGGAAAGCATTGAAAACTTGTCTCTTTAGCAAGTAAATTCTTGTCGTTACAGACACTCGGACAAGACAAGTTTTATGTTGCCAACATGACAGACTTTCGCTGTGAGTGCAAGTTTCACAATGATCAGTCTGATGAACTAACAGTCCTTTCTGACGGTGTTGTAGTCGAGTACTTTTCCACGAATACGAGTACTTTTCCATGAGTAAGCCTACGAGTGCTTTGGTAACTAAGAGTACGAGGAAATTTTATTGAGAGTACATATAAGTATATTTTCATGAGCATGAGTACAGAAAAAAGTACTTGAATACAAACATCATCATGATGTACAAGCAGAAAATATGAGTGACTGCGTGTGATTGCACCCCACATGCAAGCAGAATGAACAATGTGCGCACTGTTTGGGTTACTGGTCACTTTAATGCATACGTGGGCAGACCATCGGACCACATCGGTGTTGGCAAGTTTGGTTTTCAGTATACAGAGCTATCAAGTTACGATGATCTCATTGCTACATGTAACACCATGAACGGCACTGCTGTGGCTTTTGAACTATAGAGCTGAATCAACTATTTACGGGTACAACAGACTACAAGTACTCTGGTAAGAGTACTATTCGAGTACTGGAAATTTTTGTCTGGAGAGTATGAGTACATTTATACGAGTACAGAAAAAGTAATCGAGTACAAGTAGGCCTACTTCAACTACTCGTGATTCGGAAAATCGCCTTACTCAGCGACTATACTCTCACTGAGTAGAGTGTTTACGCATGAACGAAAGTGGCGGGAACCAGTGGCGGCATAAACTCATAGCTGGCTCACTAGCGATCCTACATACCATTTGTGTTAAGAGTTACTGTTTACCAGGAACTTGTGCCCACTGACACAACGGTTCGATTCTCATTGCTGAGTGCCTGCATGTATATATCCAGTTCAACCTTGGCGCAAAAGCAAACACGAAACTGTGGCATCATAAATCAAATATCTGTTCTGCTATAATTCACAATTTCCATTCGAACGAATTTCGCTGCAAATGTTTCGTGACATCAAATTCTCTTCACTATCGCTAGAGGTATGAACAAGCCTTCAACGCCAGAAGTTATATATTGTCTTTTTTTCCTACAGTGTTTTGCAGCTTCCTACAAGGATCCCTACCGATCAGCCTCAAGGGGCACGTTGGTAGTACCAAGGCGCCTGTACCTTTTGAGGTTTCCGCCATAATCTTCTCAGTACAAAAAAATTTTTGGCACAATGAAAACTCTGCTTTCATTCTGCTTACAAACCCCTTTTTAATAAACCCTCGCGGCTTCATCCGTGTCGGTCATTAATATTCCGGGAATTTAACAGTTAATTAGAAGGCATATTTTAATTGACACAGTCAACGTATTCTGGCTTCCACGAATCGAGATCTGGCTGAAGATTATTTGAATAAAACATCACAAATCCGTCTCGAATAAATCCGATGTGAATCGACCGTCCGGCAGTGGCCCCTGCTTAAATGGTTGAGTAAATAATACCGACAGTGAATGATGAGCGCCAATCACGGAGCTCTTTGACAAACATGGCTGCTCGGCCCGAGATATTTGCACTTGCTCCAGGCATGCACTTCGCTCAAATCCATGAGAGAAATCCATCAATCAAAATGTCATCAGATCATCTGTTGTCAATCCCACTCCATTAACACTTTCCAAAACATAATGGACATACCGTTTTCATTTGATGATTGAAATTTCGGAAGTGTAACAGTACAGACGAGCGCTGAGAGCCTTTTTTGTCTATGCGGTTAGAACAAACGATTGCATGAAACAAGTCATGTCTTGTATATTTGTCAGTCAGGCAACAGACCCAGGTCAGGCCAACGGATGTCAATGTCAACGTGGAGAGAAACAAATTCTTTGGAACTGCAAGACATCGACACAGCACTTGCTGCATGCTGGATGTATCCTAACGTGTACCTTATCGTAAAATGATTGCACACGAAGAGCGTATTTCAACATTTCACACATTGACGGATTTACCTTGTAACAACGCTGAAAAAAGAGAGTCATTTTCCGCAGACGACCGAGATGAACAATCAAAACGTTAACCCTAACCCCCTGTAAAATCACATTGAAATCGGAGGATTTGGGACTGTTATGGGAATGAACTTCAAAAGGTTCCTGTCCAATAACATGGCATTTATGCTCATATGTGCAACATCACACGTTCGCCGGTATCCGTCACTTACGGCCGTGGCTAATATTTTTCGTTACCCGAACAAAATAGTCTGTGTGATGAAAAAAGCAGTGAAGGAATCCGCTACAGAGATCTATTACGTCGATTTATTGTCTTATATTTCGTTGTAGATGTAGTTTCAATATAAAGATCACTGTCAACCTAGACTTAATTATTCGGTGTATAACATACACCGAGTTACAACTAAGCTTCAATCATTAACCCACAAAAATATTGCCGTCATCATCATCGTCAGGGGCAATGTTTGCTTTGACCCAACATTTTTGCCCGAGTAATCGAGGAGTGTTCGACATAATTATTAACAGCACAAGATCTGACACGCACCAGGAGTATAACATTTCAAAAAGGAATCCACAGACACTGCAGTGGCCCACATGCAGAGTCGAACTCGATATCGACGAAGTAGAGAGGGAAAGGCGAATGAAATTACTGAAAGGAATATTCGCCATCGCCTGTTCAGAAGTGGTCATGCTGGGGTCGTGAGTTCGTGATGGAACGGTCTTCAGAGAGAAAATAGCCTCCAGGAAAAACTGACTTCTCTTGAACGCACTCCAGAAAAATATACCAATAATCGGGTGGTTGAGGTGATGGGGAGTCCTTGTTCTAAATAAGTGCCAAGCTAGCCTGCGGTTTTTATATTAACAATATTCAGTGCTATCATGAAGTGTTAGCATGAGTCTCTTCCTAGGCACGTTTCATGAGGAGATATTTGCGCCATGATATCAATAATGAAAGAGACTTTTTGGAAATTCATCATGTAATATTAAGATTGATGTTCATTCCAACACATTTTCTGCCGTGACATGTTAATCACTGTCTGCATGGAAATGACGGGGGAATCAAATATTTATTGCCATTCTGATGCCAAACGTTCACTCGCTGCTTTTTTTCCCCTTCCTTTTTGTCTGTCTTGGTATTAGGAGCGCCAGTGAGTTCAAGATACGTGGTTTTCTCAAGGTTACAATGATGACGATAATTTTTTTGCGACATTTGGACTTACACCTTTGAACTAAAAATGAGTTGCTTTGTCAACTTGGCGTGCGAATTTGCACTAACGGCCTCAACCCCTTTAAATCATTTCCTCATATTCATATTACGCCAACAATTATCTTCATAAATTTGACACTGGCAAGTTGGGGCTACAATTACGGCTACAGCCAAAGCAATCAGACGACTGAAAGAAAAACATTCTTTAGATGATCATTGCAAAAACTGAGTGATACCATTCCTTAAATCTGAGACCACTTGCTTCAACCATTTACACTGTGTTTGATATCAAGGTCATGTGATGGGGCAGCGGATACGAGATGCTAACGGCAGCTGAATGCAGACAGCATCATACACGAGTATTCCGTTCGTTAATTCATTTAGAATTCCGTGCGCCAACGCGCCCCGGTAGGATCCATAACAAGTGCAGTGAACGCGAACCATTCAACGTTGAAATTCAGTAGCGAAATAATCTAGTTTTGCCATCTAAAGTGTTTTAGATAATCTTGGAATTAAATGGCAGACTTAGCATCAGGTGATTCAATCAAGGGTTAAAGCGTTTCTCCCTCGTTTCAGATGCATATACATGTACATCTGTCCACGAAACTATCGAGACTCCTGTAATACTCATGCATACCGAAAGGAGCTGAGGCCTTGCACTTTATAGATTGTAACGTGGTTGTTTACTACTGAACGGCAGAACAAAAGTTTTAATTATCTGGAAATGCCATCGTTCAACCTAGGCTTTCCGAATTCGGATCATGTTAGGTTGACAGGGAAACCGATACTGCCTGCAGCACCTTCAGCGATAACATGCGAAAAAATGAGACGCAAACGATAGGTTAAAAAAGGATGAAAGTGACCTTTGGTGTATAAGGATAACTGAAACTTAAAACTGGCTCTCCTGAAAGGCAATTCCACATTGCCTTAGCTCAAGCGTGCAAACATTGATAAACAGCTGACATGGCCGACTAGTTTCTCAATTATTCTCAAGGAGAGGGAGAATAGGGAAACTGCCCGTCATGTTAATTGTTTGGCAATTAATGACGTTTAAGATGAAACCTACCGTTGTCTGTTTTTTTTTCAGTCTTCGTATTTCCCTCCCATATAGTAGGCCTATATCCGTTTGCAATTTTGTACACGTATATGCATACACTAAGCAATCTCACCATGGCTCATTCTTGTTTCCCATGGACTTCGAAATCGAACTCATCTAATATTTAAAGAGCATCTATAAGAAAAACACATTTCCTCTGATTTTATCAGTTCAAATAAATATGGAAGCATCCAAATTGAACGCAGTGTCTTTGTCTTCAGAGCTCAACTATAACAAGCTAATTTTTTTCTGTTCATGTCAAGATGCGAATTAGATTATGTGTGTCAAACGGAGAAAACGAGGGGAACCCTCGCCCTGTGTTCGTAGTGCTTGGATAAACCCTTGTGCATGCCAAACAATGCCTTTTTCGCTTGTTATAGTCATGATAGTTGACCTCTGAAGAGAAATGACACTGTGTTCGATTTGGATGCTTCCATATTTATTTGAACAGATAAAAATCAGAGAAAATACGGTTTCCTTAGAGATGCTTTATAACAAACTTCAATTATCAGAGAGTGTGGAACTTACAAACTTTTGGTGAGGTACCGTCCCCTACAGCAACCAACGTGGAGAGGATCAGGACAGACAAAACACTTGTGCACTTGGAAATAGGAAACATAATGCCGCATCCACAGAAGAGTGTCGCCTCCATCTTGTTTTTCTTCATCGACGAATACTCCGACACTATGTAGTCTTCTTTAATTTATCTCATAAAACAGTTCACTTCATGGACCGTGTCAGGGTTGTCTGACTGCTGTCAACAGCACAGATTAATTATAGTCCATGGGTCATTATATCACCTTGCAGGCTGCAGAGGCTCTTAGCCATCATATCTCACTAACATGTGTGCTTACAGTTGCCTCAACTCCCAAGGCAGATTGGATTTAGACGACGGCTGGTCTGTTTATGAAAATGGCGTGTTAAAAATGAGACGATCGCGTGCAGCTGAAATGCGTGAGCTCAATGCACTGCTACTTGCTAGCTTCACGTTACATGTAGGACCCGTTGCCAGCATTGGATGTCAAATCCCTCAGCGCGCACACGTAACTAGATATTTCACTGGCCACATTGTTTCCACAGCATATGTGGCTAACTGGTCGTGGTTGTTTACAAGAAAATTTTCTCAAGCTGTAAACAAATGACGTGTAGAGCCCTCTATAATAACACACGCCACACGAATAATACCGCCTGCTTCCACAACATGGACTTCATCGCATGCACGCTTTCGCCGGAACCTGCCAGGTCATGTCGCGTGCTTCGGTAATCTGGTAATGAAACTCCTACCTTCGTCGATGTTTTTAAAGCAACATCGGATGATATATTAGGTGATTATGTAGTCCAGTTCATGCAGAATGATCAGCAATAAAGCTTAAGCGTCGATGCCGAACTGTCCACACTAGATGTACATGTACACACAGAGCTCTACGCACAGTGGCGGTACCGCATTCATTAACTCGGAACCCTCCAGTTACTGCTCCAATATATTTTATCGCGCGCCGTCTTCAGGGGCTCCTTATTTCCATCAGGCTGCGTTGAACGATGGGCGTACGTGCAGCTATGCAGAACATGCAAGTTCAGAAGGCCCCTTGCGGGCTTTCGTTTTCTGTAACGACCTTTTTGATTGGTTTCGAATAAAAATACCTTGTTTCCTCAGCCAATCGCAAACGCGCTGACCTTTCGTTTGGGTGGCTGTTTGGACATACAATAGGATGTGGTTTCTTTATTTTCACACAAGGAAAAACCGAGTGAATACCTGATCAGTGAGAGCCGTGAAAATCATCAAAATTTCGAAGATTAGTTTACATACATCCATCGGGCAATTGTTTTCCACCCTCCCGCCCACTACGCATGGTGCCCCATGTCTTGAGGTTTCTGTGACAGTTTTTGAAGCCCCAGGTGCAGGGATTTGGGCCACTTACCAATAATATTTGAGATGGAAATATTCCGTAGATGGAAATTCAATCAGCTTATTGGGTCTTGCCATGGTCTTGCCTGTTTGTGTCTGACACTCAAAATGTTGTCTCCTGGGGCATTTTTTTTTCAAGCACTTCAAAAGTGACAATCTCCCCACGTTTAATGTGGGGAGCGACGATAAGCATATATTACTAAGCAAACAAGTGTTACAGCATTTTTTCTGTTTGATTTGAAGATTTTCAGGCCGGAGGGAATTGGTACCCACTTCTTTTTTTGGGTAGGTGAATCTCCTCCGTGTCGGGTGACAGGTCAAACACTTACATGGAACGTCATAAATGACCTCATTCAAGATGCACATTTTATGAGTGGTATTCTCTGCTTTCTGATAAAAGTTTCAGCACGGTAATTTCATCACTGACTCACTCCTCATCTTGTCCTGGCCACATTCGATGCGAAAGAATTATTAAAAGCATGCCTTGATCATCCGATATTTTCAAAAGCAACATCTGCATGTAGTATTACCCAGTAACCATTCCTGTACGTCCACAAATGCTTGTTGGAGTGCAGTGACTAATTCAGGACGCACTGAAAACAGTGCAAAACCAACAAAGTTCAGGGCTCACTAACATGCAAGCCGACATTACTGGAGGGTCTCAAACAAACATTAAAGTATTGTCTTGACCCTAGTTTTTCCATTTCTTTCCAATTTTGGGTGGATTGGCCAATTACCGTTTTCACGGAGAACAAACTCACCCCTCGAAAAGTTCACAATCCTGCTCACAACCCTTTTCTAATGGCTTCCCTTTACCTTCTCGTGCACTGAGGACCGTTTTCCATCCAGTAATTTTATCAATTTTGTCCTTGAAAGGAAACCCCTAAACCCAGGTAGTTGATCCTGGTCCATATTTCCACAATCCCTCAACTGTTTTTCGGTCAAACAATCCCTTTTCTTTTCGAAAGAAACTGCAGTGGTACTTTTCATACTAATGAGCTAAGCAGTAATTTTCACTTGAATTAGTTCACTGCACCCTTAGGATAACGCGGAAACAAGGCCTCGCACCTCGTATACAGCGTATGCAGCTGGGATGCGAGTCAACGCCCCGCTGACAATTTCGTAGTCTTTGTCTCGAGGCGTTGGATGGCGCGAAGGGAATGGAGACCAGTTTAGCTGGAGAGAGCCCCAGCGCCTTCAAGGGCAGAGTATCATTCAATCTCTGCCGTGCATGATTCGATTAAGGGACAGTCGATTTGATTACAGCCCAATAATACTGGGGCGTTCGTGTTCTTAAATAGTTTGGGTCGGGTGCTTTGGTTTATTATAATTAGTGCCTGCACTGGGTATACGGCTTTTTAATGAAACATCTCTCAGGCTCCTTAGTATTTCTTTCTTAGCGACAGCGTGTATGTCAATGTGCGCACAAACAATGGTTCTGTGGGTTTCCTTCACAGATTTCTCTCAATAACGGTTCCTCTTCCCTCTTATTTCATTTGCAACATATTATCGCCCATCATTAGTTCATCATCTGAGCCACGTGCAAATTCCCCGTCAATCAACATGTAGAATATTCATAAAAAACATTCTCTTCCCTCTAAAATGTGTAGTGCCAATTTCAATTCGAATATTTTTCAAAGGGTTAAATTATCACTGCGTCCAAAAACGCTACAATCTAAACAATCATAAAAAATTATCTTCATCACAACCAATTCTTTGCTATCAAAGTTTATTATGCAAGTTATTTTTGCCCTTGTCTCCAATCCAAACATCTACAACCGCTATTCTCCTCTCCCTCTTTCCATCAATCGTTAACCATCGTCAGAATTGCCAAGGCAACCACCGTTAACCACTCGTCAGTCACTGACGCCCTTCGCTTCCCGCTCTGTACCATTTGACCTTCACCAATCCTGTCCCTCCAATTCAAAGTTCACGTACATCACCATCGCAACAATGATGGGACAAGAAAATAGCATCAAAGAGTGTTTCATATGATCGTTGAATCCGAGAGGCATTTGGATGTTTTGGTGTCGTGTGCAGTTTGCACTCAAAACTCACCAATATTCGGCAGTGATCCTCAACTCAGTACACGACATACAAGCTGTACGCCAGGCCCTTCCGTGTTAAACCGAACCTCGAACTTACTACTAGGCTTGTGAAACACTGTAATGGATTGCTTTTTACGATGTTCGTGTGTGCAAGTGTGATTATGGAGGATCACAGAACAAGTTCAAGCAGCAACTACACACATTTCTTTTGATGTCCGGCATCATAATTTACATATAAATTTCAAGTGCAATTCTGTGTCACCTACGGTATAGCTATAATTTATACAAAATAATAAATAGCTATACAAAGTCATGTGTGCATGTTTAAACATGAAGCCTACACCAACAATATATTGAAACATTGTGAAACAATAACACACATTTATCTCTACCTACTTGGTAAAGTTTGTTTACCAGCAAAGTACCATATGTTGGACAAATGAATATCAGATTTGGTCCTTCAGGATGCATTGAAATCGTATTGCACCCAGGCTCAGCTAGGCACTCAAAATACACCTAATTAAAAACACATTATATTTAAGTGCTCAGAAAGAAGGTTGTCCATTATTCATAATTTACTTCCAGATTTGATACATTTTGACACTGATAGAGAGCTTGCATGTGACAAAGTACAAGATAAGTTCCACTGATCTTGCTACTTTACGCTCTCTTTCAGGAACTACCATTATTTTAAAAATAATCAAAACACCTTTGACAAATATGTACATTACACTAAAACTAGACAACACTTTTAAGTCCAATTTGGTCAAATTCCTGGTTCAGGGCACGAATTGGACTGACACTTTGCTCAACCCCCCCCCGTCCCAGACCACAACGTTCTTTTTTCAAGATGTATTTTTTTTTTACAACGTTCTTGTAAAACATCTGTAAAAAAAATTCATAGCTGAAAGCTGAAAAATAATCAAGGCCATTTAGTGACATGTTAAATTAACAGAAATAAAGAAAACTTTTAAAAAAATCGCTCGTCGCTCACTGTAAGACTGTCGCAATGCGTGCAAGGTCGCTCCAACCTAAGGCCAGCCTGAACTTAAGGGTTCGTAATGAGGCACATCTAACTCTCTAGTTAGGCCTGCTGGATTGACACATATATTCATCGTGATAAAAGTTTCGCACTGTGTGAATATAACACGGCGTTGATATGATCAAAGAAAAGGAATGCTCAGATTATCGTTACTTTGGGATTTGCTAATAGAGTGGGCTTATTAGACAAACTTACTTTATTAAAAATGCTAATTTTATTTATTTTGTTGATTTTGTTGTCCACGCGTTTACACTTTGGGTCGCAGTCCTATTTGGTTATACAGTTTTCCTGATATATTTTACAGGCTTAGCAATGTCTCCAGGAGGTGATGGTCTTTGGGCACACCTGCATGCTATCCTACAGTATGATCACAAGAACTATGCAGGGAATGGAAAAATGACCTCTGCCGACGACATTATTAGTTTATTTTATGTTAATGGCATTTGCAACGCTGTGCCTGACTATTTATTTCATAGACATGGTTCGCTTTTGAAAACGGAAATTTGGATGCCAACGGGTGAAATTTCGAAAGGTTGGGACGCTCAAGTGGGATTTTATTTCATTTTAAGGTACAACAATTAGCTATAAAATGACGTCTTGATACCAAATAATCTATTTGCTGCCATTCATTCCATGGCGGCTTTCATTGAATTCTCAAGATATTTCAAGTATCGTAACCTTTATTAAAATCCTTTTGCATTTCAAACACCCAGATAATAATATGAGGCCCCCAGTGTCTTTCGTCAGTGGTCATTGCGCGTGTCGATTTCAAGCATGAGCGTTTTTTTTTTTCTGGGAGCGCTGCAACAGCACCCTCTACTGCAGCACTACCTTAACATTTTTTGCGGGCAGCTTGATTTTTTACTCAGGGGGATAGATCCCGACGAGATTGATGTTGAACAATGACAGCAGACTATGGATAAGAAGTTGTTTGCTCTCAGCCTATAATCATAATAAAGCTGGTCTAGTTGCATGATCCGACAACGTGTGTCTGCAATTGTGTGTACAATCCAACCCGGGGGAGGGGGGGAGCAGCAAGCGTCGCCGCATCAATTCTGGGACAGCAGTCTGACCAGAGACAAACAAATTTTTTTTTGGTCTAAGACCCATTTTTTAAACACTGTGGTAAAGTCGTTGCTCGGTTCCGAAAATGTCCAAAACAGCTTCTTTTAATTGTAAACACTAAAGTAAAGTCACAAACAAACGGGGTACTAAACAAAATGTCACATAAAATGTAAAAGGAGCATTTATCGGTAAAAATGGCTTGAAGTAAATGGGGTTAAGATTCATTTAAATTAAACGTATAAAGGAAAGGGCTAAAAATCTTATTTTATGAAGAGGAAAGAGTTCGTTATTTTGATTTTTGAACCAGGTTTGGAGAAAATAAATCTTACAAGGTTATACGTGGGGAAATAAGGAGTTGCGCAATGGAAGGGAGAAACAAATGGATATAGAAAGATTAAACCGTTTCTTTTGCCGCAGGTTGCTACACAGCCTTTTGTAGAAAATACCAAGAGATGAAGCAGATCAAAATCTTGACGTAACTTGCGCAGAACAGTGGTGACGCTGTTTATCAAAAGAGAAACATAATATTATTTCGAAAAAGTAAAGTCGATAGAAAAACAATGTCGCCTAAAAACTGATCATGGAATTTTAGGTGTAACAAAATAGCAGTAAATAAAAAATAAATCATGATTGTTTATTTTAACGAAACGACTCGAAAGTAAATATCTTACCGTTGTCGGCAGAAGTTTGGCTTGGTGTCACATCGACAGAGGGCGCTATTAGATTTAAGACCAAAACAAATAAAAAATTAAATAAATAATTCCACAGACTGGGAAACGCATAGACGGGCAGTAATGGATCCAAAACTGCAATTGTGAAAATCGTAGGCAATCAGCCTGAGTGGAGGCGCGTTCGTTGTACGCAGCGCGCTGTGTGTTTGTGATGTAGGTATGGCCGCCTTTCCCCATGTACCCGTACGTTTTATTGACCATTCCGTATCGTCATGCATCTACCGCATCCGTCTCCTATACTATGAACAGTCTCCACAACTTATGCAAGCCATGGAACTATCAGCTCCATGTGCAAACGGACTGGAGGTCGGCAGAAAAAACGCAGAAGTGAAAGTGTGGCTTGTGCGCATAAATATTGTCTTTGCTTGAATTAGTCCTGAGTTCAGCAGTGTCTTTCATATTTATGTACTTTCTAACATATGAGAGTTTTGAAGGTATTACAAATTTTCATACGTACTTCGTGGGTGAAAAGAAACAAACACCCCCCCCCAAATATATAAAAATATCCAATAATTTCAAGAAATATCACGGACAGAGATGTTAAACCGTGCGTAAGACTTCCATACAAGAATGAAATTGGCCACTGATTTTTTATTTAGTCGGGTGCTGTCACCTCTACATAAAATCCTGACATCGTTTTCTATGGAGCTGTCAGTCTATGCGTTGATAAGTCTGTGATTTATTCGCACGACACTGTTGTTCACAATTAAACACAAAAGCTCTGATATAAGTACACAGTGTCAGGCTCATGTAAAGAATTTAATTAAATCCTTAGAACAGATGAATCCGACAGCCATATTTGAAGTATATGCAACGACCCATGCATTGTCCAGGGCAAGACTCATGATTCTGAATAACGCTGCCTTGGCTCCAGTCAGATAAGCTTGGCCCTAGCATCAACTTGCTGGTGTGACAAGAGAAAAAAAATCGTTTTCAGAGACTCTAAACACGTATTAAAACTTGTATCAATTACTGAAAAATTAACCTTGAAATCTCAGTTTCCCTTTTCGGCTCACTCCATACAATTCCTTTCTATTTTAAGATGAGATTGACTGAGGTAACTGGTATTCTTAGTTCCACTGTTTTGTTGTTGTTGGTTTTTTTTTTTTTTTTTTTTTTTCGCATTATTCCAATTCTAATGGGGTAAATGAGATAAATGGGACTCCGACGTTTTGTATGTTACAGTCAGTTGAATAACGCATGCAGTTCTTAACAAATAGGCCCACCCATTTTATTTGAATAATATATCACTTGGCACTGTGTTTTTACTGTATAATACTGCCATCTGTACATGGATTTCCCATTCCCACATCAGCACTGAAGTGTCCCAGTTACCCCAGTCAAAACCAAAAATCAGTCCAATGATCTGATGCATTTACCCATAGTACTAGGGTCTCCATTGGGCGCAAAAGGGGGAAATTGACCTCCAGGGGGCGGTAGACCGTCATTCAGGGGGAAGCCTACTCCAGCCGGTTGACCAGTGTCAGCGGTGTCCCTCCTCACACGCAAGCGATCGTCATGGTCAGCATATGTGTCTGCTGCCACCTCGCGGTGAAAAACAGTCCGGCTTTTGGGATCTTCAAACCGTGCCTGCTTTAAAATCTGGTTATCTGGAGAACCCGGTTGATAAGTTGGGAAAGAATAGGGAAAAGGAATTGCTGCTTCTATTATGAAGAAATTTTGAATACTGCTTGCCAATTTAATGGTAACGAAAAAACGTTAGGTGGGTCATTCTAAAAAATCAGGGTCCAAAAGTGTGACATTTTTGTGTCCCTGTTACACCTGACCTGTGTAAATTGACCTGGAAATATCATTGAAATTGATTTCAAACCATTTCTCTTTGTTTGGCAGGTAATTTACATTAATTCTGCACTCTTGAAAATTAGAAAATGCGTTCTGATCTTACAAAATTGTACTTCAGATGTGGCAGGGACACGACAAAAACTGGACCCTAATTTATGGAATGATCCAGGAATGGGGCTGAAATAATCTGAGCACAAAGGATTGTTTTGCAGCAGTTCTTTCCTTACTTCTGTTTCTGAACTTGAAATATTCGTCAAAGGATGTCGTCACAGATCACAAACTGACCACAAGTGGGGGGGGGCTTTGATAAAGAGATTTGCTTTAATTTCGACGAATTAGGTAGCCGGACCTAGGCGTATGCGTATGTCAAAACTAAACTAGTTTCGTAAAAGTAAAGGTAATGCACTAATTCCTCAGTCCGCCATACCCAGTAATACTCAGTAAACTGGAATCAATTTAAGTAGAAGTGTCCACTGTAGCTTGTGTCTGTATCTGGACTGGATCGGTTCTGGCACAGAGCTATACAAAATTACTAGAGCCAACTTGCTGTAGAATGAACCCTGCTAGGCACATGCAGTCTCAAGATTTTGTGCGGCTGTCTACATATCTGCATCTCAGTGCATGCTAAAACGATGCGCCATCAAAGCTGATAAGCAAACTCGAAACGCACAATAGGTAAATTAGTATTTCTTTTTACTCTGTATAAATTAGACAAACTCGAGCACACATGCGTGGTAGATGAAGGCCGAAGTGTTTTTTAATGTCATAGTACTGATATAGAAAACGTGCTTATTTATTATTTGAGAGTGCTGTACGTGTGCGTTGCATTTAGAGCAGATCTACATTACTCGGAATCCATTCCATTTTATTTCATCATGTACCACAAACACAGACATGAACTCAAAATTTTGTCTCCCTCGACGTCAAAGTTTATCTGCGCTGTGAACGAGGAGTTACCGCTCTGGTAATTTAATATAGGGCCTATAGTTCCAACTTTAGCCGTCAATTGCCAACAACATACGGCCACTAAAGCCCCACGGTATCAAATTGATACCTTATTCCTGGACGTTTGAACTGTTTTAAATGCAGCTGTCCAAGCATGGGATTCTCATCATTATGCAATCGATAACACTGCAAGGAACCGGGCATTCCAGATGCGTGGTCGATTATTCATGAAAACACGCGTGCACGCTCGCCATTGAACATCCGTCAGAATTGTTGGCCTAACTTCCGTGTTGTCTTCATCTGTGATAAGTAGGCTTTCCGGGTAACACCTAATTGTTTGGTGTATCGGAATCGCCAAACACAAATCTAATCTTTAAAGAATCCCGATTTCTTATTATCACATCGAGCTACACTTTTTCCTACAAGATTCTGTAAACAAACTGTGGTGAGAAAATTGATTTAGTGTTAAGTTCTTTCACTACCACACGTATGTTCGATCCCCATAGACTGTGCATGCATTTAGTTTGTGTATCCGCGCATGCGCAATGGTGACATAATGGTCGTCGGCCTGAAAAATTATTCTAGCAGACCCCTTGAAGACCTCGTGTGTGAATAAATTGCCAAGAATCTATCAAATGGTGATATTTAAAGCTTCTAGTAGGAAAGATCACCGGAAAGTAATCAAAGGAAGTGGAAAATGTCAGTTTTACGACAAAGCATAGTTATAAAAACTTATCGTTACTTTACCTAACTTTGTGTATAATTTTAACAATTTTGCCGAGTTTACCTTCAAATACATTTGATGCCACATGAAAGACTAGTAACCCTTATGTACAAAAAAAGGTTATTAAGTCCAGGAAGAAAACCATTTTTTGAAATTCACTTCGTTTTTCATTGGGACGCATTTTCGTCATTTTCCGTGTTTTTCACCTTACTTAGTGCCCAAGTTTCACACTTTTGTCGAATTCCCCTGAGATCATCGGTGATACTGTCTGGAAGACTGATAAATTTTTTGTATATATCAGCTCAATTTTTTCAAGATCGAGAGCCATTTGTCTGAAATGCGGTTCGTTTTTCATGCGGATTCAAATTTCCTCTCTTAGTTTGGCAGCGGTCGAAATGTCCGGATTATGGGCATGCAGTGGTGCACACGTACGCATATCTGGATACGAGTGCGTTTGGGTATATTCTTCACTATTCAAAAGTAGAGAAATGTCAGGGAAACTCAGCAAAACTGAAAGAAAACTTCTAAAATGTTGGCTTCACTTTCAACTTCTGACTCTGTTACTTTGGAGGTACGTGACAGAAACGGGCAAAAATGGATTTTTATAGTGTGCAAGTTAGCAAAAAGGAATTTGAGTGTTTAAATTCTAATTGGTATGGAAAAAAGGGGCAAACAACTTTATCTGAGCTTGATGTTGATCGATTACATTTGGGGTCCACCTGTCCGAGTCAAGAGCCATTTTACTGGCTTCTGTCGCTATAGTGGATTCAGTGCGCATGCGCAAAATTAAGTGAGGGGCATGAACATACGTGTATACCACTATCAATCTGCAATGTGCTGCAACCACACGGCAATGTTACGATGAAACTCAAGATATGGTCTGGTTCCTGGACCAAAAGATATCGACTATATTGAGACACATTTGGGCCTGACGTCGTCCCCATGGTATCAAGCCAAGCACCTCAACAACTACCTACTCTTTCGCACTGGTTTCGATCATTTGCATTTCCACGATTTTTGAACACGTATGTAAACTTTCAATCAGCTTTCAATTTAGCATACGTCCTCTGATACCAACACTGAGTCAATTTTGCGTTCGTTAGGGGAGCGCGATTTCTTAAAACAAAAGTTAAAATCTGAACATTATGCAGTATCACTTTTTTTTAAATAATAACCACCCTGTTTGAAAGCTAAAGTAGATTATTTTAAAGTAAACGTCACAACACATTACACACGTTGAAATTATAAACATCAAATATACTAGATAAATTATTTCCTCGCTGTTGTTGCATCAAATCAGGACAAAGTGAGAAAGTTTGCTTTCCATGAAGGCTATTATTTGAAGCTATGCTAGAAACACATGTACAGTAACCACTGTAAACAAGATTGCTTTAGGTCTGGTAACCAAAATGGTCACGAGACAAAAATGGGAGGAATTACTCCAGTTCTGGAAAGTTCTGAAACTGGCCGAAAATTTCTGGACCTATATATTTCGCTGATATTCGGGTTCTGTCGTCAATATTTATCGAAATTGGGCGTATAATTATCAACTACTTCTTATTATAATTATTATTACTACAGCAGGGAACCAGCCTTTTCAAGATAGAAAAAGTGGGGTGGACTGTACTAGGTAATGGGATACTTTTTAGACTCTTGGTAGTGGCAAACACAGTGATTTTGCGCCGAACATTTCAGCCTTTGGCTGATCAATTGCTTTTCGACAACACACACGCAAAATACAGTCTCACTCTAGCCTTCCAGTCGAACTACTTTGTGTAAAATCTCCATTGTGCATATTCTGCCGGTGGCTGCCATTTCGGGGCTGTCATATGTCAGTGATATTTCGTATAATTATTTTCGTGAAAATGGCTGCCTCCTAATTAATAAACTAAATCGACATTGTTAAAAGCCAGCGCTACGATCATGCCCCTTTGCCCGGTTCAAAGAATGGTCGACTACGGATGGTAAAAGAAATCCATTCTATTGGGGCGATGTTGATCAAATTCAAATTAACTAGTGTCATAGGACGAACTTGCCCTTAGCTTCAACATGACACGGCCACGGACGAAACCGTCACGAAAGACCATTGGGTTTATTGCCACCTGTCGTCTTAAACATAACTCATTGTGCCAGGTTTAAACTGCTGAAACATCAGCCCGTTGTAAGGAATCCTCGAAAATGTGGGTTTAAGCTTGCCCGAGCAGCCTCTCTTCAAGCTCAACCTTACAAAATAAAGCCTACTGTTTAAGGCATATCGTTTTTGAGGGAGTTAAAACAATTGTACCACATATTAGGAGGACTTCCATGCTGCTCGTTTTGTCCTATTTTCTTCGTTTCTGGTATGTTCCTTCACTTCGGGTTATATGCCTAATGTTCCAGGTTACACGCTCCGTCTTTATGCCTATTTGATAGGTATAAAGACTGGCTCAGCGTTGTGATGACTGTCTTGAATCATCACAACGCTGAGTCCAGACACACAAAACTAAATGCCAACTATACAGACAGACTTTATAAACATGACACTCAACTCGAGCTGTTTGACGGATACCCGATCAATATCTTATCAAAGTGAGGCCTTGTCTCTGGCGCTAAAGTCGATAATATTCATGAAAAGCGCAGCAAGGTGTTCGTACCTCCTGGAGATCAGTACAGATTTGCAACTTCTTAGCTCTGATCACGCCCAATCTTAAAGATTAGCTACTCCATAAAATTGCACTGGCGCTTATGGACCTTAACTACCCGAGAATGTATCAATATCCACACCTGTGCTATGCTTGCACCGAATATTTCGATGGATCCAGGGTTGCACGAGGGCTTTGGTTATGTTCATTAAGGTGATACTTGGTCTCCCAACTCCATTGTCACATTACCATTATACTAAGTACTGTACAGTGTGGCTGGCAACACCGGGGAGAAAATTTCCTCCGTGTATCCTGATTTGATGCAGCAACAGCTATGAATACTCCATGTATTTACTGCATGCTATTAATTTTAACATATTTTCACGTTTGCTATGAATTATTATATCCGCTTTCCCTTTTAAACAAACCTTCTACATTTTGATTGTAACTATACAAAATGTGACGCTGCATGCTGGTTGGATGAAATTTTGAACTTTTTATTTTTGAAAAAAAATCAAATCAAGCTCATTGATCTTTATCAGTGGATACAACATGGGGCGAAACATCGACTCTGTGTTAATACACTAATACTATTGACGCTGTTGCTGATGCGAGTTCACTTTAGCCTGTGGTCACAGCGCCCTCCAGCGACCATGAGTTTTTTTGCCCGCCTCAGCGCATGACATTATTAGGTGACTCCGAAAACTGTCCACCGAATTCCATCAAATATAAGAACAATAAAATTGAGGCATGGTGGTATGAATAATTATTAATTATCATGATAATTTTAATGTTAAGCAGAAATACCAAGTACTTTCATGTAGGTTTGGGGTTGAATTGACCATAATGAACATGTACAATGCACGAACATTTGGGTATGCATGTACTGCTTACATAGTGGCAGCGCACGCATGTACATTTGTAATTACGTATTGTTTTTCATTGGTTTCAGTAATTCACGTGCTGATTTGAAGATTTAACAATAATTTTACTCTATGATTGTTGATTATCTAAGGAAAGGAGACAGCTACAATTCTGTACTCATATAATTATGGAAGTCTTGGCCACATGTTGTTCTGTTGAATCTGCTCTGTGTGTGTTTAAATTGCAAGTTTAGGTCTGCCATGTACACATGTGACTGTCAAGGTATAATCTGCTGAATTAGGTTTTTCCTTTTCCCTTTCCTTTGCTTATATAGTTTTCACGGAGTGTCTAATATACACGGAGCATAATTTGATTGGAATGCCCACATACACGTATAGAGAGTACTCCATAAACATGACTCCATAACTTTGAGAAGTTTGATATTTCAGTGAAGCTTGTGTCATTATCAGTCTTGCGATTTCAGAGTCAACTACAGACACCTCATGCTAAGATGAACGCTGTCAGGCACTTAACACGTATCCAAATTTATTGAAAATACAAGATCTTACCCCCCAAAAAAAATAGTCTTTCTCTGTTCAGCGTGCGCGTCGATTTTGAACCTTCACGTCAATGTTTTTTTCCCGTTTTTTTCTCAAAAATTTCAAAACAGCGCCCTCTACTTTAGCACCGCCTGAAAGTTCGCGAGTAGACTGATTCCCTGCCACCAGTCACTAAGTAGGAAGGGCAATTTGTTCAAAGAACCAGACTAAGTCGCTGGTAGCTCGTACCTCGTGATGCGTTACGACTGTGTAATGTTAATGTCGAACACAAACAGTAGACCATAGGTAGGTTACGAAGTTGCAGCCAGCTGATCAACGACAATGGCGGCATGACGTGCGACGTACGCGTGCTACTACTAGCCTTTGCTTTTTGATCAAATATGCCACTCATTTCCGTGTCCGTTGCTAGTCTTAAAAGCCACCCCAACCCCAACCCCCCAAAAAACTAATTAATTTAAAAAAAACTTAAAAAACCGCATCACCGCATCAGTTCTGGAACTTTGGTCTGACCAGAGACCGAGTATTTTTTTTGGGGGGGGGGCTTATTGTTGAGTGAGAGCAGGTTGCCGTGGGCAGTGTACTGCTACTTACTGTGGGGACGGACCTGTGCGCTGTGCTAAATTGGTGCTGTTACCTTTGTTTAGGCGAAGCATACGGCCTGCAGAACACAGATGATGCTTAATCCCTGCAGAACACTTAATCCGGTCTTGAGAGTAAATTTGTGCCGGAAATTAGAGTACGGGGGTTGGGAATGGTGGGCAATGACTTTCCCGGCCACAAAAATATGAAAAACGGGGGAGGGGGAGCTGACACCGTATGACACTAAATAGGGGGCGATGTTAACGATACAGATGTACATCTGATATATCGTTCCTGAAGAATCACACATCAGAACGGAATATTTACTATATACTTTCAAACAAAGTTTTCTTTTTGAGTGCTATTTAACACATTTTGGTTGTTGGGAAGTCCGGTTCTTCACAATTCGCCTTATTTTTTTGCGCCACGAAAAACTGGAAGGATGATTCAATCGCCCATCCCCCCCCAAAAAAAGTAGATGAGATATTCCCCAATCACCTGGGGATTACACCCGTAAGTCTCTTCATGCGTTTCCTGTAGGTAATTGCTTAACTGGCAGAAAATTTTGAAAATAAAAATGTAAATAACCGAAGGGTTTGGTCAAATGTAAACTGTGTCATGTGCTGAACGCGGAGCTTATCCCTTTTTGCACACATGCGAAGAAAAGAGTCGTAAGGAGTCACTCGTTATTTTTGTGACTCAAGTCGAGTATACATGTAACAATTGTAATTATGGCTGATGCTGCAAATTGTAAGGGGTCGTCCATAAAATACGTATGCCCGAAGGGGGGTGTAGTTGCGTAGATCATGCGTACAGAGGGGGAGGGTCTGAAAAGTCGGCATTTCGTGCGTATACGTATTTTATGGATGGCCCCTAAGTCCAATAATGAAGGGCCTATTATTTTGTTGTGTACGTATCTGGATCGCGACCAGTCATCCCAACGTTGCTTTAGCTAGGCCTATTAGGCGGGTTCTGGTGTCAGTGAACTAACGCCGGATCACTGATCGCGAGGCCGGTCGGCCTGAAACAAACAGGCCCAAATACAGTACATGTATTTTGATTTAAAATAATCAGCCGTAAAGTTTCAATACTTCCTAGATTCAAACGTTCTGGACTGAAGATTCGTTATCAGTTACACACAAGGAATTTCTAATTTTTTTTCGTGGGTTGAAAGATGTACTGATACCTCTGAAAGAGAAAGTGTTGTCTTTCGATATATAGTTCATTCATTTTTGACATTACAAATAAATTTATTGTGGGAAGGTGAGAGGTTATCATGTTTTGGATAAGCTACAAGAAACGTATCTCTAGGCCCTAATCTATGCCCTATGACAGATTGACACGTAAAAAGGACAATCGTTGATCTCCACGAACTGGTATAGAACAAAAAAACTGAACCTGTTGCACCAGTCTTTGCCGTTTTCACCGTGCATGTTTACCTCCTTCCGTGTCCGCGCGTCTATAACATTAGATCGCTCCACTGGCGTTGAGAGACACTTAGTCTAATGGGTAAGATGTCAAAGTGGGATCATGGTAAAAAATTATCTTCCTTTCGACAAATTATGAAGGCGTGTACCCAACGTCGTTCCCTCCTCAGAGGTGTTTTATACGATACATGGCGTAGAGTAACACGCAGTAATAATTCATTCCGATATTCTAAGATTTGTCGGCTTTGAGATAAACTTACAGGAACAGAATATTTACCAGTCTACGTGAGGCCATTGTGACCAAAGCCACAACAATATACCATTTTGTGCAATACATCAGAAGATAAACTTTTTTTGGCGAAGCAATGCGTAAATACAGTTCTTTGAACAAATTCCAATCTAATATTTGCCATTGTGTCCTTCCTGAAGAAAAAGAGACATTTCGTAAACTTTGCCGATAACCTCATATAATTTGCACGGCATGTTATTCATTGCGGAGGGTGAATTATCAAGTTGACTTTCTCAGTCGTTCAGTTTGTTCACAATTCACCTGAACCTCGCTTTTCTTCGCTATTTTTGCTAGCACACCTTTCGTCTGCGGTGGAACACGCCCCTCGCTTGCCTGGCACCCATTTGGTAACTGACAGGTGTTTGCTTTTCTTCTTTCCAGGCAAAGTATTTTGTGAAGTAGGGAAACACTGTTGACAACATTATCCACTAGGGTGTTCTTACCTCTATTTCCATGACACATGTCAAGTGGTGTGAGAAGTAAGATGGCACCAAGGAAGAGTCGGACATCCATAATTCTCCACGTCGATGAGGATGCTAGGCAAGGGTTTAAATCAATCTGTGCAAACAAAAGAAAGGTTATGGTTTGTGACCTGTCTTCGCACTACGTCACGAGCCATCAGACGACCACTACTAACGACTGCTGAGAAAAGACAAAGGCATTAGTCCCCTTCGTAAACTAACACTACTGTATAAGGTAAAGTAAAGTGCGTGTCTGGGGGCCAGTGTGAAACCATATTATCATCTTCGTCTCCTTGAGGGCACACCGTCACACATTGCTAACAGAAAATACGTATTGTTGTGTTGAAAAACAACTCTTTGAAGATTTGCGTTTCGAAGGTTCACCCGATTACTAGCAGCAACCCCGAAACGAAAACACATTGAAACATTTCCCTATATACAGTCTGGCTGGATTCCACTCTCTGAGGATCTGCACATTGGCGTCTGCTCACTAGTTTGGAATTTCTAGGGGCATATGGGAATACACACTTCTCAGGGGGCACTGAAAGCCGATGGATTTATATTGTGGCTTGTACAAAACTTGGTTCAAAATTTAAAATGGGAACTCCTAGGCGGTGGAGAGGCACCAACATCGGCTGGTGGCACGTGTCTCTCCCCTCAGAGTCACGCCACTAGATCTGCAGAAGAACACCATCCACGATTAGTACATCTGCAAAATTTCAACCATTTCATTCAACGATTTCACGAAGAAACAAAAGTCTATCACAGTGAAATCTGGGTTTCGAGAAAATCGCTTCTTTCCGCGGATGGAGACAATAATTTTTTAACAAAATACAAACAAATAAAGATCATGGAGATAACCTGATAACTAACAATTCGTGATCGACACCACGAAATAGTACCCATCCATAGATGTGTGCACTGCTCCAGCGCGTATTTTACATTGTTATTTTCATTTTCATAAAGTAGCCCTCTGTGCCGTGCGGCACGTGCTCGGTGATTTGTCGTTTTCAGGAATTGACCTTTTCCTTAATTTAAACAGTCAAAACTAGTTTTAAGAGCATCTTCTAATTAAGTCAGATATTTACGGGTGAATCCAATCATTTTAGACCTTTCAAAGCGTTTTTATCCATGCTTTATTGACAAAACACACATGAGCGCTACTTCGTGAAAACGAAAATCGTTCGATTACGCATCAGTGTACGATGTGCGCGTACACACTTGAGTGCTACTTCGTGAAACCGAAATTGCTTTAAACACACAAGTGCAGTTGAGTGCTACTTCGTGTCGACGATTTGATCGACAAACTTATACCACCTTATTATATGAACCAAGTTGCACAGAATTTGAAACAAATTCTGAAAAATTGATTTTTTTTTAAAATAAACACGATTAGATTTGAAAGAAAATACGTCCACGGTCTTTTCCATTTTATAACCACTTCTCCAGTTTATCCAAACAAACGAAACAAAGTGCCGTGTGTATTAAGACCCGATAAAACATCGGTAGTATTTTCAAGTTATTGCAAATTGAATATTTAGTATGAGAATCATTTGTCCGTAGTAGTGCATGTATACGTGCGTTGATTGAGTACATGTACAGTACATGTACGTGCACTCACATTTGCACTCATAAACCATGGCCGACCCAAACCGACGGAGAGCCAACGTTGAAATTGATAAAACGAACGAAGGACAACTCACAATACTTTAGACAGAATATAGTATCCTTCAGTCTTTCAAATTACCCCATTTCCTCCCAAATGTCACTTATGGTTAACAAGAAACACATCACAAAATGAAATCTGAAGCCTGATTATATTTCTCTAGTATAAATTGGGCGAACGTTTACACAGTGCGGAAGATCTCCGCGGATGAAGTTTGGTATAGTCGTTTGCTGGTTGGCGTCACCATTTTAACTAGCAAAAGAAAGTGACCACGACTTTGCCAAACTTCAGCGCTTGCGCACAAACTAAGTGGAAGGGGTGAACATACGTGAGTTTTGCCCCTTAATGGTAACGTTGTAACTGTAACCGACTACCGGTACTTTCTCTTTTCGTGAAAACGGTAAATGCGGATTAAGTTGCATTTTGCCCGTCGAGATCATCATGATTTGGTTGGTTGGAGTAGATTTGGTCAAAAATGATTACACCGTCTTGTAGGCAGCAGCTAGCCTTGCTGATTTTGCAAAAAACACAGAAATTTGAACAAAAATTTCGATTTGGGCCACTTTCCTCTCTTCGTGAAAACGGTGACGATTTGTGCAATGGTGACCAAGCAACCAAAATTCAACGAAGTAACCTTGAACATTTCACGACAACAGAATTATTTTTATGCAAAAACATGCAAAGGAAAAGACCAGCATGAAAACTTGAGAGAGGGCATGTATTTTGGGTTACCATAACATGGACTGCATAACTGTATATTACCGTATGTCGACAGTTCATAATTTCGATTTGTGGCACATAGTATCTTTGCATACGTGTTTCACTAATAGGGGTCTATAAATGACATGTCGCATTTTCCTTCTCAGATCTTTTTCGAGGTATCCGCAGCCGCCATATAGAAACAGCTAATTCGGATGACCTCTGCATCTAACTTCATGTGCCTGTAATAAAATCATCGTCTACTGAATCCATTGCTTGGGCATTTCCGCGGTCTCCTCGAACCAAATTCATTTTTTCCAAAAAGTGAGGTTACCCTCGTATAACAAGGCTCATGAATACTGTCTCAGTGAATGTTTGCTAGTTTGTCCCTTTTAAGGTTTATGACTTCTTTCTTGGAACTGCAGTGGTTTCGCATAATGACTGACACCGGTGTCACATAAGTTCCATGACGTATGTGTGACGTGTTCTGACGCAGGCGACGAACACAACAACTCTAATTTGTGACACGAAACGAACTCGTTCGAGAGGCTTTTCTGGAGCCTATGGCAACTAGAGAGGGAAGATCGTTATCGGCCGAACACGCACTGCTGCAGCACCAATCAAAAAACGATGGAAGGACAACTTGTGAGACCTATCCACGTGCCTGTATGACCGTTTGGAAAGAGGTGTATCATCCACTTGAGAGAGGTTGGGTGATGGTGCGCCCGATCTGACCACCAACGCTGTCAACAAACGAGGCTTTTAATGTATCCTATTCGGAGCAAATCTGAAATAAATTATGGTGTTATCTGATAGAGAGTGCCTGAAAGTAAACTTTCGTCCTTATGTGAAATATACTTCAAGGATACAAATTTGTTCAATAAATATAGTAACCTTTTCCAATACATGTAGTTCTTATGCAAGGAAAGAAAAAATGAAAAAAAAAACACAGGGATACGAACCAACAACACCCACAATACTAACCCCTTTCCTTACCACTGCGCTACGCAAACCAGCTCGACCAAATTTCTTTATTCCCTTGTTTGTGACGCTGAAGCTGTTATGTAATTCAGGTAATGCCATAATATATTTCGGTCTCCTTTCGAACAGGGGCATTTCTCTGTAAAGGCCTGTTGGTAGGTAGTCAGATCTGGTGCATAAAGTGTCCAACACGGGATTCGCTGAGATTACTTGTGGAAAATGGAGCTTTGGATGATATTCCAAGTCAACAGCTAACAACAAATATTATTAAAAAGGATACACACTGAACACCCTTTTCTGGATGCAAAGAACTGGATGACAAAATTATACCAGTTCACCGTGGACTTTTGACTTCAGGATTCTTGATTCTGCACAAGGGAAAGACTTGCAGATTAGGAGGATCCGGTCATGTAGAAGGGCACTTACTCACTGTCACTGTCAGTGCATATGACATAGTAGGCGTACTATTATTTTTGCGGGCCACATTTTGTTTATTTTACACAGGTGCTCAAGTTCAATGAGTGCTCAGCCAGGCAGTGGCTTAACTTAGTAAGCAGCCAAACCTCGTGTGTAATGTGATCTTATTATGATATTGCATGGACGAATTTCTTGTCACCAGTCTAAATCTAACCCCTCAGGTGTATGTAAAATCATATCAAAATCGGATGATTGAAGAATGTAAGGGCTGATATTCAGCCAAAACTCAGCCCAAATAGTCACAAAACATCTGCGCGTGTAACGATAAATAAATACGAGTATAATTTACCGAAAGCCTGATAAATCCGACGAGTAACCATTTCGTATTTGATTGAATAAAAACGAGTTTTCATGCCATGTGGTCTGCACACGAATATTACATTACAAAATGTTAAATCGCTACTGCAAAAGTCTGCAATGCAGTACATGTATTTAAAATGTAAAAATACGAAATGCATCTTTGTGTCTTGACTTACCTTCTTATTCTACAATTTTTGTTTTACTATTTTAACGGGTTTTGCTACCTTGGGGTTTTAATGTTGATGAGTATTTATTATATTCTGGGACAAAAATGTGATGACGTCCCCAAAAGAAAACCTCAGTGTTACACTGGTTTATGCACACAGTAGGGCCTACCTCTGTATATTTTCGTATAATTTGTTAGCCCGAATTTTCCCTTTCTTTTGCCATTCGTTACTGTCAATACCTAAAGCAATATGCCAGTGAGCAAATCTTTGTGAGAGAATCGTAGTTTTTCTCCAAAAAACCAAAGCATTAAACCATGACATCCCTAAATACACAGCAACAGCGCCCTCATTGATTAGGAAACAATGGAAAATTTTGAATGTTAAAAAAAATCACTTTTCAATACATCTAATCTAAAAGGAACGTCAAAGTTGCAAAGTGTGCTTACTAAAGATATATTGCTGCTACCCTCAAAGAGAGAAACTTTGGATAGAAAACCATGAACAGCCGGCCACAGAAAAGCTTGCTTTTCGAGTACATAGCTTGCGTGTCAAGTATGCGACGGTACAATACGAGCGATTCTAACGTTTCAGAGCGTAGAAGGCAATGTTGCCATCACAACATGGGGTTGCCATGACATTTAGATCAAGTGAAATATGACAATGTCGAGAACAGACAGCCCAAAGAAAGCCTGCTGTCTAACCGGGCAGAAATCTAGACATATCACGAGTTAAATGCACTGGCTATGTGAGAAAGAGTGCTCATGATTGAATGGAGCAGTGGTACGTTAGATATTGGATCTAATCGTT